GTCAGGATGTCTGATGGTAACCAATTAACCACAAGATGCCCCTCTCCAGAGATAACATGACCAGACCCCGGAGATGAGTTGTAAAACTCCTGACAGGGCAAACAGATAAGCTAGAATAAGATCAAGTCCAGGCCCAGGAAAAACTGGACCAATCAAGCATGGACCCGAACTAAGCCCCTCTCCTGTAAGAAATTTTATGGGTTTTGCCTATAAAAACTAACTTCCCCAAGAAAGAGGAACTCTTCCCTGCCTCACTTGAGGTGAGTTTCCTGTCATGACTTGCAGCAGAAGTAAACCTTGCTTTTGCATTCTGGTATGCTCATCCTTGGTGATCTCTCTGGGGGTTACGATCTGGGCACAACAAGGGTACAATCATTTTCTCCTCGTAATCCATGTATAGATCTCAGTGAAGTGTTTGATACAGACACATCATCTGATAAATTTTCATTGCTCTTGCTGTGGCTGTTACTATTGATTTTTGAGGCATGTAGAATAGGAAAAGTGAAGAGAGAAATACAATGAGGGTTGAGAGATGGAGATAGAGAGTTAGGATCCCAGCCTTGCCTGTTCTGAGCTATTTGACTTCAGCAAGGTATTTAGTCTGAAAACAGTCATGTCAAGTATAAAATTGGGGTGAGGGGGGAATCAATCTCATAGAATTGATAGCACATTATGTAACTGGTGGATACTGGCCCATTACATTTAAATTGTTTGTGTTATTCATTTTAGATATATTTATGGTTGACACTTGGCTTTATTATAATTTATCAATTGTAAGGTGTATTATAATCCCCATGGCATTAAGCTGTTTATTATTATCTTTAAATAAGGGCAAATGATTAGTATCATTAAATTAATTAGTGCATGTAAAGCATCTTGGTAAAAACACTGAGAATCTGGTTGATATGAGATTATCTGGTTATCCACTCATATCTATTCTCACTTCCTTTACTTATCAGTATAAATGGTAGGACCAACCAAACTTACGAGGAAGGCATAAGAGAATCGGTATCTGAGAGTTTAGAAAGAAAGAAAGGAAGGAAGAAAAAAGAAAAATAGATAGATAGATAGATAGATAGATAGATAGATAGATAGATAGATAGATAGATAGATAGATAGATGGATAAATGGATTGGTCCTCGGCCTCACCCATGGAGATTTTTATTTAATAAGTCTGGGGCAGGGATTAGATATCATGCATTTGTTTTATGACCCTCTAGAAGTCTGTACACGGCTCCTCAAGTGTTTTATCTACATGGCCAAGCTGAGAAGGACTACTCTAGACGGCAGGAAAGCCTTGACCACTGTTGACCACACAGCCTATCAAATCTTTCCCACTGGCAGCTCCAGCCTTTCTGGATTTTAATCTTCGGATTATGTATTCTTAGTATGAGAATTGCAGCTACTGCCCTTATCCTGCCCTTCCCTTGGCACACTGGAGTGAGCTCTTCCAGAGCCTATGTCAATGACACAGGGCAGAGGAGAGTCTGTTCAGTGTCTCCCAATCCTTTGCTTCCTAACCTGACCACACAGAAATCCTCCAGTTCCTTTGTCAGGCAGAGTAAGGCAGCCCCTGGAGAGCAATGTGGTTTTTTTTTAGACAGAAATAGCCTTGACTTTAGGCAGTGACTTCTGTATGGCCAAGAGTATGTTTGTATGCCTTCTATCCTCAGCCTTCCAGGAGGCTGTTATTAATATCATTGTTCACATTGTTTAGAACGAGGTGAGGCAGCTTAAATACGTGTTCTGGACCAAGTGTACAATAGTAAAGCTGTTCTTGAAATCTGAATATCTGATTCCTAATCCTGGGCTCTTAAAAGTTCTTTAGGAGGGATTTAAACCTGTTGACTCCTGGGTCCACCCTGATTACTGAATCGGAATCTCTGATTGTTGCTCAGGTACTGGCAGGTTTCTTTTGAAGTGCAACATTTTTTATTAACTCTTTGTGAATTTCATATATGCATGCAGTGTATATTGGTCATATACACCCCTACACTTCTACCTTTAATTCTTCCCAGATCAAGCCCTCAGTCCTTTATCACCCCCAGACTTTTGTTCTCTCTGTCTCTGTGTGTGTGTCTCTCTGTCTCTTTTCCTTCCCCTGCCCTCACCCCTTCCTTAAATTACCGTCTGAGGCCAAGTGTAGCTTCCCTGTACTCATGGGTGTGGGGCCCTCCACTGGAACATGATTGACACACCAAGGACCACACCCTTAGATGTACTGTTTGTGGGGCTGAGCACTTCAAAGACACTCTCTGCACGTTGACCAGTTATGAGTTTCTGCATTAAACACTATCCAATGCACAAAGAAACTTCTCTGATCAAGTCTGGGAGTGGCAGTAACCTATGGGCACAGAGATAGGAATCGAGAGGGTAGTTTCATATTGTGTCCATTCAGCAACATAATAGTAGGTTATTCACTTCTGGTGCCTCTGAACTACCACACCAGGGATTTTTAGCCAAAGTTATAGTTTCAGGCTGTTTTCCTCCCAGGACGTGAGCTATACGTGTGCTGGCCATTGGTTACCTCCACGTTATTTGTGCCAATATTGCGCCATGGACATATCTTCCCACACTGGTTGTGATTGTAGCTCAAAGTATCACAGCCGGCTATTGTGGTTAATGTGTCTAATATTAAAAAAGAAAGGGAAATAAAGGGGAAGAAGGTTCAAGTAGAAAGAAGCGTGAGGATGGCAAGAGAGATGATAACTAAAGATGCTTGAAAAAGCCTTATGGAAACCTATTGTGTTTATAAGCGTCGTAAATATAGTTTGTATATTCATAGAAGTTTAACTATGATAACCCTACACAGGGAATCATGCTTCTCCCAAAAGCCGTAGCTTGTCAAATAAAAAGTCCAGTGCCACATGAGGCTACATACACAGCATGGTGACTGAGAGGGCAAAGCAAATATCATGACAGGCCCCTAATAACTCCGTTAAGATCTAGGCCTCAATTCCTGCATGTACTAGACCTAGGCCAAACCCCTCTTCCCACACGGGTAATAACCAAATAAGGACAAAGCCTGGGACTTGTCCAGGCCTGCCCCCAAATGGAAAAGCTGCAGACTTAACCAGCCCCTGACTAGCCCTAGCCAATTAGAATGTACTAATATGATTGCCACTTGCTTAAGCCAATCATATCTGAGATGACCTAACTGCCCCAGGAACTCCCCTTGGCTGTGCTTAAAAGAAGCCTGTGAGCTTCTCTCAGGGCCATTGCCATTTTGCCTTTGTGTGGAATGAGTGGCTCTAGCATGTTGGAATCTTGCTGATTGCATATATGGATGGTGGTCTTTCATGGGACTTCTCCAGGACCTTAACCATGACAAATAATCCAGTCATTCAAAAGCAGAAGCCTCTCCCCCAACCTTTACATGATTGTACATAGGACAAATAAAATGAACAGGTTTGACATGCAGTCAAGTCCTGGACTTCATACAGACTATTAATTTTCAAGTCCCTCTTCATTATTAATTGTAATATTAAACAATAATCTAGAACATTCTTTTCAGGAAATATTTGCTCAGGATTGTGAAATCATTTTTACACATTTTTTAACTGATTCTTTGTGGATTTCACATCATGCATTCCATTACCACTTATCTCCCTGTTGCCTCAAATTCACCCTCCACTCTGGCAACCTCCCCTCAAAACAAAATGAAATTAAAAACAACAACAACAAAAAAAAAAAAAACACCCCAAAACCAAACAAAGACACAAAACAAAAACAAACAAACAAAAAAGAAGAGTCTTGTTGTGGAAGCTGTAGTGTGGCCCGTTGAAACACACAGTTTGCTCATTGGTCTGTTCATCTTTACTTGCAAGTGTTCATTACCACAACTCATTGGTCTGGCTTGCGGCCTCTGGCTTCTGCTACACCCCCTATTATGGGCTCCAATGGGGCTCCTCTTGTATATCCCGCTGTTGTCTTGTGTTATGGAGATCCAGCTGTTTGGGATCTGTAGATTTGTCCCCTTCAGGTGCTCTAACAGTTCATAGATGAGGTGGATGTTGGGGAGGGCCAACTCATAGCCCTGGTTCTGGGCCTGGGTGGTAGCTGGGTTGGTCAGCTCGCTAGCTTTCCCTCATGGTCACTACCTGGATGGGCTCTCCAGCACTGCCTCGGCAAGCTCATCCAAATGCAGCCTACGGCAAGGAGTGGGGCCAGTCAGTTCTCCTGCTCTCAGGCCCTCAGATCCTGGTCCCCCTCATTCATATGGCCAGGGCCAGCTCTACTGTTTTGCCCAGGCAAAGTGCAGGGCCCCCCTCTCTCTCTATTGCCACATGAAGCATATGGGACGTGGGGGAGTGTCAGCCTGTTCTCATGCCCTCAGGGTTGGCTCACCTGCTAACCACAAGTTCAGTTCACTTATTCCCTGACCACAGGGCCAGCTCTAGTATGCTGCCCAGGTGAAGTGCATGCCTGTGGTGAGGGGTGGGGCCATCTTTCCTGAGTGCAGGGGTGAGCTTTCCCCTGAGGGGTAGGGCCAGATCATCTGCTGCAGTATCCATCTAGGGGCAGGACCAGCCAACCCAAGGCAAGTGAAGGGCAGGGCTGACTCAACACAGCATGGTTCTAATAATCTCTGTGCTAACACTGGCCAGGGACATTACCACAGAGCCCAACTGCGGCAGGGCCACCGACCCAAACTTGAACTTGGGCAGTAGCCCTGGCCCCGACAACACCATGGCCCCGGGTGACAGCGCATGCCTCTCAGATCGGGATGTCCCGGGTGGCAGCATGCCCCCCACCCCCAGGCATCAACATAGCCACAGCTTGTGGCCCCGACTGGGGGCATCTATGTGCTGCTAAGGAAACAATCAGTTGAGTGAAGAAGAAACACACAGAAAAGGGAATCTTTGCCAGCATACATCAGGCTGAGGATTTATATACATAGCATATCAAAAAAATTGGGGGACATACAAATGAAAACAACTATGGGATTTCTTCTCACTCAAGTCAGAATAGCTATGATCAACAAAATAACAGGCAACCAATTGTAGCTAGAGTTTTCCTGCCTTGCCCACAGTCAGGACAAATCTTTGTCACCCGCCAGTCCCACAGCCGCTCAGACCCAACCAAGCAAACACAGAGACTTATATTGCTTACAAACTGTATGGCCGTGGCAGGCTTCTTGCTAACTGTTCTTATAGCTTAAATTAATCCATTTCCATAAATCTATACCTTGCCACGTGGCTGGTGGCTTACTGGCGTCTTCACATGCTGCTGATCATGGCGGTGGCTGGCGGTGTCTCTCTGCCTCAGCCTTCTGCTTCCCAGAATTCTCCTCTCTCCTTGTCCCACCTACTTCCTGTCTGGCCACTGGCCAACCAGTGTTTTATTTATTGACCAATCAGAGCAATTTGACATATAGACCGTCCCACAGCACTTTGGTTACATCTATAACCAATGCTGGTGAAGTTGTGGGGAAAGGGAAACCCTCGTTCACTGTTGGTGGGAATGCATACTGGGTGCAGCCAGTCTAGAAGTCAGTATGGAGTATCACAAACAAACAAACAAACAAACAAACAAACAAACAAACAAACAAACCTAAAAGTAAATCTCACACATGACCTAGATTTACCACTCCTCGGTATATGCCCAAAGGACAGCCCATTCCACAGATACTAGATCAGCAGTGTTGATAGCAGATCTTAGCTAGGAAATGGAAACAACTCAAGTGTCCTTAAATAGACGAATAACGAAAATATGGTACATGTCTACGTTGTGGAATAGTGTTCAGCTGTAAAGAAAAATGAAATAATGAAAATTGCAGAATAATGGGTGTACTTAGAAAATATTATATTGAGTAGGGTAACCCAAACCCAGAAAGACAGACACTGAATGTTCTCATCTGCAGTTCCTAGTTCCAAATTTTCTGATGTGAGTATATAACATGGAGGAGTAACTACAGAAATCAGAAAAGTATAAAGGGATCATGGTGTGTGTGGGGGGGTGTTGAGAAGGGATAGAAAGATATAGGTGATATGAAGCAGTAAATGGAGAAACAGCCTGAGGGCCCTAACTGGGGAGGAGAAGGCAGGTCTGTACAGATAAAGGAGAGAGAATAGACAAATAATACCTAGATAGTTTGATAAAGTCTCAAGGAATCTTATTATTTTATATTTCCTTAAAATTATACAATACATGTAATTGTATTTGTATGCAATGAATGCACACACACACACACACACACACACAACAGTATCAATCATGAGAACAATATAAGCTATTGCTGTTGCCTCTGGATGCCTCTCGGAGGTTTAGGATACTCTTCTATTACTGAAGACATCAAACACTTAGGACAGGCTACTTGGATGATTCAAGCCGTAACTAACCTGAAAGTCTTCCTGCAGTCTAGTTTTCATTTTACCAGAAAGTACTTTGCAAATTGCCAAAGGAGGGGAATTAATTGATAGTCCTACCCAGCTGTGACACCTATGAATCTCAACAATGACCAGCATGGTAAGATATCCAGAAAGGTGTAATAGTGGCACTCACGAGTTAGTGGTAAGCAACAGCTATCTAAGTGGATTTTAAGGCCCACGCAACAGAACAGAAATTGTACCTGGTACTAAAAACATAGGAGCTTCCCAGGGCTAGTGAGATCAAGGATCTTACGAGGAGAAGCTACTACTGCTGATTTGCTAGACTAGCAAAATTCCTTAACTTTTTTTCTAAATCTTGTCCTTAGAACCATAGGTAAGTATAAATGCCACCCCTCATCAAAGGAAGTTCTCTCTATGGCAAATGAAGACAGTTACAGAAAACCACAGCTGGATACAAATGTTAAGGTCAATGGATTGTGGAGTGCCTACCGCCAGTATACACATCTGCAGCACATCTCCTGCAACTATGGCTTAGGAAATTTGACAGAAGAGGGTGCAAAGAGGCAGAATAACATGGCCTTTGACTACCTCTCTTTGAAAGGGCAGCATACACAAGACCTGAACAATTACAATATCAATAGGTATGCTAATGAAGTAGGGGCAAAATCCCATGGGCTCCCACCCTTAGAAGAAGTACTACAGAGAAATTCTCCATTGTTTTGAGATCTGGACAATTTATTTGAGTTCTCTAAAACAGTGCCTCAATTTAAAATAGTAATCCTTCTTCATTCAGGCTTACGTTGCAAAGATTAGACATGGGAAACACTTGACAGGGTGCCTAATACGTGGTGTTTAATGGCTGGAAATTTTCATTCTTATAGGCATTATTGTGATTATAGTGAGGTCGACTGTGTATCCATGGCCACAAGAAGATAGTCTGCTGTATGGAGATGGGAAATGATTTGGCCAGATTCCAGAACTGCAATGCCTATCTTCTATATATTCCTATCTCTGTAGATCCCAGGGGATTTCCAAGGTCATGCTCTCCCAGGAGCTTTCTTGATTTTTTTGAGTCTCTGGTGGAATTCTGTGAATATTCTGAAGTATGTCTGCAAAAAACAAAAACAGGCTTACCTTCATTCCAAACCATGGATATATCGAGCAGAAATTTTGGATGGAATTATACTAATTGGCATGGTTTTATTTGGTGAGTGTTTTTAACTTCAGACTTTAATAAAGATTAAATAGAAAATAAAATACTAACAATAATCTTGTTTGCAAAATACCCTTTCATATATATTGTAATTATAATTTCAATTTGATTATACTTTATCAGGAAGGCAATTGTTGATGCTTACTCAAAAGCCTTTCCTAGAATTTAATTCACCCATATTGGTGACTTCCTTTATAAAATTAGTTGGAATGAGTGAAAGAATCTCATATCAATTGTACTGATCCCTGAAAACAACCCCACTCTGTTGAAAGTCCCTCTGATTGTAGGAAAGCTTCAGGGACACCTCAGTGCTGAGAGTTTGGAATAGGAATCAGAGCTCAGAAGCTTCACGCAGTCCTTCCTTTTTATACTTGGAGAAGTCATTTAGACTAGACAGTTTGGAAGGCCTTTCCATTGCCTTTGAGAATTCTCTAAAAACACTCTTTTTGGAGTTCTGCAGCTTCTCCACTATAAAAGGCAAAATGTCCTATTTTACCATTAGGATGTTTCATCATTTATTAACGATAACAGGTCTTTGCTATGGCCTTCAAATGATAGACTGGTCTTTTTCCAGTCACCTTTTCTCTGTCACTTTCTATAGAGCAACAGATAAAGCAGAGTCCCTAACAATATCAAACAGTTTATGAAACTGACTGGTCTGCACACTGTGTCCACCAGGCCTGACCAGTTATCTCTAATTATGGAAAGCTGAAACTCTAGGAGTATTTTGTTGAAGAGAAGAGGAATGACTTTATGTTAATGATGTAAGATCTAGAAATCCAAGCATCAGCTGCTCTCAGGTGGATTTCTTAAATCAAAACAACCTAACCTTTTGAGATTTCACTAAATTGTAATGGGTACTTGAACCAAAATGGCTTAGTATTGAAGAACTAGTTTCATAGGAGGACAATGAATTTGAGCATTCATTAGCACATGCTCCTGTATACTAGGAGCTTATGGAGAAGGTTACTTGTTCCATGAAATGTTCTCTTACAGGTGCCATCAGCCTACAAATATATGCTGAGGTCTCAGAGAGCCGGGTGATGTGGATCCTGCGCTTGCACCACACAGTTATATATATCTTCTATGGGATTCTGGGTGTGACCAGAATCTTAAGCACTACCATTAGATGGCTTCCAGTCTCCTTAACCAAGCTGGCATTGTCAAATGCCTTCCTTGTACAAAGTAAGTATCAGTATTTTTTCCTGGGCCTTTTTCAACTGTTAGACATCCAGGTAGCTGTGTATAAGGTACCTTTGCTGTCATGGTATAGTCTTGATTGATGAGACCATTTCTATCCAGGCCATAATGAGACATTTGGGTGACAGAATGTCAAAGACTTTCCTTCCCTACTAGTTTACTTAGGCCAGCAAAACTATTCAAAGTATTTCATTCATGTTTCACTTTCTTTTTTGTTTGTTTGTTTTTCGAGACAGGGTTTCTCTGTGTAGCTTTGCGCCTTTTCTTGGAACTCACTTGGTAGTCCAGGCTGGCCTCGAACTCACAGAGATCCGCCTGGCTCTGCCTCCCGAGTGCTGGGATTAAAGGCATGCGCCACCACCGCCCAGCCTCACCTTCTGTCTTAAAGACTCACCTATTAACATCAGAATATTTTCTATCATCTTTTGGCTATTTAAAAATATTCATGGAGTAAAACTCTGCTAGTATATATTAAGTAACAACTCAAATATTCAGCCATATTAAAAAATGAGGTTCTTGGGGCTACAGACATAGGTTAGTAGTTAGGAGCACTTGCTGTTCTTGCAGAGAACCAGAGTATGATTCCCATGACCAAGCCAGGTAACTTGCAACTGCTTGTAACCCCTCTTCTAGACTCTCCAGTTACATGCACTCACATGTGCACACTCACCCCCTGACACACATCTATTTAACTAAAAATAAATCTTAAAGAATGAGGCAAAAATTTTGAGAGATCAATGATTGTGGTGGTATTGTGTTCCCCAAAATATTGTACGCCCTAATAAAAGTATCTGGGGTCAGAGACAGAACAGCCACTAGATACAAAGGCTAGAAAATGGTAGCACTCACACCTTTAATCCTAGCACTCCAGAGGTAGAAATCACTCTTTATCTCTGTGAGTTCAAGGCCACATTGGAAATGGCCAGGCACGGTGACACATGCCTTTACTCCCAGGAAGCAAGCCTTTAATCCCAGGGAGTGGTGGTAGAAAACAAAAAGGTATATAAGGCATGAGGACTAGAAACTAGAAGCATTTGATTGGTAAACTTTCAGGCTTCTAGCAGCACAGTTCAGCTGAGAACCATTCAGATGAGGACACAGAGGCTTCTAGTCTGAGGAAACAGGATCAGCTGAGAAGTTGGCCAGGTGAGGTTATCTGTGGCTTGTTCTCTCTCTGACCATCCAGCATTTCACCCCAATAACTGGCCCCGGGTTTGATTTTATTAATAAGACTCTCTAAGATTCCTGCTACAAATGATACACTGCATATTGTGTCCATTTGGTTTCTCATCTTGTAGGGGGAAAGAAAACAAGTGTTTAATGATGTGTCTTCATTTATTACACACGTATGAAGCACATTAATTATGGAACCATGAAATCCCCAAATAATCGGAAGACAGCCACTTCCTATCTCTTCCTCTTGCTGTCCATGTCTGTTGAAAGAACTTCTGTCTGTTACTCTTTGAGAATGAGAACCAGATAAAAGATGAGTCCCAACAACCAATGGCATAACCCTGTTGTTTCAAAGGGCTACTGCATTATACATTCATGAATGTGTTTTCCTCTTTTAAGGAAAATGTTTCAATGAATTTGGAATTTATTCATAGAATGAAACAATGCATATATTTACAGCTTCCTGGTGACTTCCAGATAATGTTGCCATGTCCATGGTTATGATGTATGTCTGTGTTTACATATCCCAGTGAACTAATGTGATATGAGGCTTCAGCTTGTTCATAGTTGTATATTTCATAGTTCCCCAGCCCGTTTAGGCTTCTTATTCATCATTCTGCACAGAGAATTGTCTGACTTATAGTTACTTGAAGGTGCTGTGATGTGTTAAAGGCAAAACTAAATGTTGGGGGAGGGGGAAGGAAGGTTATCACTCCAGCATTCAATTTTGAAGAAGCAGTGATAACAACATGCTCACTATGGACATCAGCTAGGACTTGTTCCTCTGGGCAATTGTGTTTGTTCAGAGAGGTCATGGACAGAGAACGAGAGAGAGAGGCTGTGAACAGCTTTTTGTTCCATTAAAAATGACCAACTGCTTTCCTCCCTCCCTCAGCTTTCATCATGTACAACCACACTCATGGCCGAGTCACAGTGGATGTTTTTTTGCACAAGATACTGGCTCTTGCCACCTTCTTATCAGGCCTGGTTTCCTTCATGGAGGTCCTCACAAAGAATAATATAACCCTGGAGCTGCTGCGGTCAAGTCTCATTATGCTCCAAGGGACTTGGTTATGGCAGGTAAGTTGGAACTACGAGATGACGGCCATGTGCCTGCATCGGTAACTTCTCTCATTTTGATGGAACATATTGCTCTATAGTTCAAGACCTTCTCTCTCATGTGTTTTCTGCAATACTAATGTGGACCTCTGGGAAATTATGTTTTTTTAATGCTTAGTTGCTGAGGAGGCAGATAGTACACATACCTGAGTAGCCATCATATAGTAACTCTGAGATGATGTCTTTAATCAAAAGCCATTTGTGATAGACATTTTGCTGCCCAATGACCAGCAAGTCTGAGCAATTAATGAAAGGCAAGAAATGGGGGAAAACAATCTTTGCTGTGAGGCAACTATGTGGTTGATGTAGGAGGGGCTATCTCACTAAAAGCCATGCCATCCCTGAGCAGGTGGTCCTGAGTGCTGTATGAAAGCAGGCTGAGCAAGCCAGGAGGAGCAAGCCAGTAAGCAGTATTCCTTCATGAGCTCTGCATCAGTTTCTGCCTCCATGTTCCTGCCTTGTTGGAGTTCCTACCCTAACATCCCTCAGTGATAGATTGTGCTGTGGAAGTGTAAGCTAAAATAAACCCTGTACTCCCTAAGTTGCTTTTGGTCATGGTGTTTTGATCACAGCAGTAGAAACTCTAGCTAAGACAGTGTTTGCACATGGGGCTCAGCCACATTTGCTGAAAAAAAAGTTTTTTATTTTGAAACTATCACCGAATTTCAGGTCATGGAGCTGACAGTCTGTTTTCTTGTGTTTTGTGGTTGTAGAGAGAACATTTGGATTTTTAGATAACTTTGCATGTAGTAGGAGTTAAGTGTCTCTTGTGGTTTTGATAGTAAATGTTCACAACCGGCTCATGTTTTCAAAGCTTAGTCCCAGCTGGTGACTTAATTTGTGCCATTCTATCTTGGAACTATGTAGTTTTGCTTTTGACTTTTAAGTGGCTGTCCACAAATTGTCTGCTTTGAGGTCCACAAAAGACTTTGAATTTGAACTTTCAAACAATAGTGATGCTATTAAATATTTGGAGATGCTTAGAGATAGTATAAATGCATTTTCTACCATGAGATAGATGGTCATGAGCCTTCGGGTGCCTATGTAGTAAATGGTCATCCATGAAAACATACAAAAAAAGTAACACTACCTGAACTCAACAGATTATATTTGGGAATATATATGTATATACAAATTCATATATGCATGCAGTAAAAAATCAAGGGAAAAAAGACCATGAATTTGAAGGAGAATGGGAAGAACTAGACAGCAGGCTCTGTTAACCATTAAGTCATCTTTCCAGTCCCCTTTAATTTTGGGGGGCTTCTTGGGGTTTATCACAGAGCCTAAACTGTGGTAGGCAAACAATATACTATGGAGCAACATCCTCTGACATGAGTATCCTCGTTTAAATTTACTCTTAAGTCTTTTAGGGTGTTCAATGCCATTGTAATAGAATTACTCATTTAATTTCATCTAAGGATTATTTGTCATTTGTATATAAAGATTATAAATGACTTTTTGTGTTGATTTTGTATTTGTGGATATGCTAAATTAATTTATTGCCTTTTAAGGAAAGAATCCTCAGTGTTTGCTATATGTAAGATCAGAATATTTACAAATATAGAGGGTTTTATTATTCTTTTCTAACATTTGGGTTTTTTAATTTTTTTCTTGCTTAATTAATTAATTAATTAATGCTGTCTAGGCTTTGTAGTACAATGTTGAATAGAGGCAGTGAAAAAGTAACTTTATTTCTTATTCTTGAGTCAAGGAGGACAGCATTCATACTTTCAATATAAGATATGATGTTGTCTATGGGGCCTTATTCATTTAAAAATATTTTTGACATAATTTTTTCCCTTTATTGAAAATATGCTTTTTTTCCCAAAATAACATTTTCATTGATCATTTGGGAATTTCACATCATGCACCTTGATCACATCTACTTCCCAGTCCTCCCAGGTCTGCCTTCCTACCCTTATGACCTCCCACCCAAACAGAGGAAGAAGGGGGAAAAAAGAAAAACTACTTACCTGACAGGGGAGACACCATGATCGGAAACAGGCTTTTTCCCCCCTCACCTAATCTATCCTGTTTATAGTTCCCCTCCCTCTGCTTCTCCCCTTTCCTCTCCACCTCCCCTCCCATCCAGATCCACCCCTTTCTGCCTCTCATTAGAAAACAAACAAGCTTCTTAGGGATAATAATAAAATAAAATAGGTTAAAATAAAACCAAATTTACATCTATGTTCATTTGTGAAATTGGTCTGTGATTCTCTTTCTTTGTTGGGTCTTTATGTTGTTTTGTTATCAAGGTAACTGTGACCTCATTAAGTGAATTGGACAATAACCTTTCTCTTTCCATTTTGTTGAATAGTTTGAGGAATATTGGCATTAATTCTTCTTTGAAAGTCTAGTAAAATTCTGTACTAAAACCATATGGCCCTGGGCTTTTGTTTGGTTGGGTGAATTTTAATTAGTGCTTCTATTTCACTAGTTGCTATAAGTTTGTTTAAATTGCTTCTATGATCATGATTTAACTTTGGTAAGTGGTGTGTATTAAGACTACCTATTTTATTTAGATTTTCCAATTTGGCAGAGTATAGGTTTTGAAAGTATGTCCTTGTGAATTCCTTGATGTCTGTTTTTATGGCCTCCTTTTCATCTCTATTTTTGTTATCTTGGATCTTCTCTCTCTGCCTTTTAGTTAGTTTAGATAAGAGTTTGTCAATCTTATTGATTTTCCAAAGAACCAGCTCTTTGTATCATTGATTCTTTGTATTGTTCTTATTATTGTTGTTTCTATTTTATTTATCTCAGCCCCCAGTTTATTTCTTGCTGTCTACTCCTTTTGGTTGTGATTTCTTCTTCGAGTTCTAAAGCTTTTAGGTGTGCTATTAAGTCGATAGTATGAGATCTCTCCATTTTTTAATGTAGGCATTTAGTGCTCTGAACTTGCCTCTTAGAACCTCCTTCATTGTATCCTGTAAGTTTGGGTATGTTGTATATTCATTTTCATTCTAGTCTAGAAAATCTTTCTTTTTTGACCATTTTTCATTCAGCAGTGAGTTGTAAATGAGTTTGTAAGCTTTCTGTTGTTAGTATATAACTTTAAATCATGGTGGTCTGATAAGATTCAGGGTCTTATTACAATTTTCTTGTATCTATTGAGACTTGCTTTGTGCCCAAGTATGTGAGCAATTTTGTAGAAAGTTCTATGAGGTACAGGGAAGAAGGTACATTCTTTTGTCTTTGGGTGAAATGTTCTATAAATATCTGTTAGGCCCATTTGGTTTATAGCATCTGTTAGCTCCAGAATTTCTCTGTTTAGTTTTTGTCTGGATGTCCTGTCTCCCACTATCAGTGTGTGAGGGTCACTGTATGATTTAAGCTGTAGTAGTGTTTCTTTTATGAACTTGGGTGCCCTCATGTTTGGTGCATAGATGTTACACATGCAAAAGTTCTTGTGGTGGATTTTTCCTTTGTTGAGTATGTAGTGTCTTTCCATATCTCTTTTGATTAGTTTTGGTTTGAAGTCTACTTAAACAAATTAAAATCACTATACCAACTTGCTTCTTAGGTTCATTTGCTTGAAGTATCTTTTCCATTATTTTACTCTAAAGTAATATCTGACTTTGATGCTAAGGTATGTTTCTTAGATGCATCAGAAGGATGGATCCTGTTTTTCCATCTATTCTGTTAATCTGTGTCTTTTTATTGGAGAATTGAGACTCTTGATGTTGGGAGATATCAATGAACAGTTTTGTTGATTCCTATTATTTTGTTGTTGTGGTGGTGGTGGTGGTGGTGGTTATAGTGTGTGTGTGTGTGTGTGTGTGTGTGTGTGTGTGTGTGTGCGCGCGCGCGCGCGTGCGTGCGTGTGTGTGTTTCCCTTCTTTTGATTTGCTGGTCTGGGATTATTCATTCCTTGTGTTTTCTTGGGTGTGGTAACCTTTTTAGTTCTGAGTTTTCCTTCTAGCATCTTCTGTAGGGGTGGTTTTATAGATAGTTATTGCTTAAATTAATTTTTTATGGAATGTCTTATTTTCTCCATCTGTTGCAATTGAAGTTTGGCTGGTTATAGTAGTCTCAGATGGCAATTGTTGTCTAGTATAGTCTGTAGAACATCTTTTTAGGCCCCTTTGGCTTTAAGAGTTTCCACTTAGAAGCCAGGTGTTAGTCTAATAGGTCTGTTTCTATATGTGACTTAGTCATTTTCCTTTGGAGCTTTTAATATTATTTCTTTGTTCTGTATGCTTAGTGTTTTGGTTACTATGTGCCAAGGGGAATTTATTTTCTGTTCCAGTCTGTTTGATGGTTTGTATGTGTCTTGTACTTTGATAGGCATCTCTCTCTTTAGGTTTTGGAACTTTCTTCTATAGTTTTTTTGAAAGTACTTCCTGTGCCATTGACCTGGGTTTCTTCTCCTTCCTCTATTCCTATTACTCTTAGATTTGGTCTTTTCATATCATCCTAGATTTCCTGGGTGCTTTTGTGCCAAGACTTGTTAGATTTAACATTTTCTTTTACCTCAGTGTTGTGATCTTGTTGGCTACAGAGTCCTCATGACTTATTATTACATGCCATCTCTTCATATGTCATGAATAGAGGTTTGATTATACAGTCCAAACAAACATAAAGTTAACTGATGCCTTTTACATGCTCAAGCATAAAACAAAAATCATGGTAGTAAGTGTTTCTCTGTACCATCAGCTCCCAAATAGTGACACAGAGACTTATTAATTGTGAAAGCTTGGCCTTAGCTTAGACTTGTCCCACTAGCTCTTATAGCTTAAATTAACCCATTTATTTTAATCTGTGTTCTATCACATGGCTTGTTACCTCATCTCTCCACACTGCTCAAGTTGCTTTCTCCATGTCTGGCTGCTGACCCACCTTTCCTCTTCCCTGAGTCCTCTCTGTCCCCAGAAGTCTCACTTAACCTCTTCCTGCCTAACTATTGGCTATTCTGCTCTTTATTAAACCAACCGTAGTGACACATCTTCACACAGTGTAAAGGAATATTCCACAACAATCATCTTTAACTGACTTGTGCACACTGCACTTTCCACACTTGTATTGATGCAGATATATATGTTACCTTTAGAAGTTTATGTGTTTTCAGAAAAATAACTAGATACCGGTGAAGACAAGTAGCCCAGATGGTCCAGCCTCTCATAATGCCTCTGTTGAAGTTTCCTCAAAATTCTGCATCTAAAACAACTTCAAAGCTACTAGTTGAGATGGTCCAGTCTCATAGACTATCCAGCCAAGACTTCAGATAAGCTCTACACACAGAGACTAAAGAAAATATAATACAGCTATCTCTCCCAGGACTTGACCTCTATCCCAATCTCAGGGTCCTCTAAAGATGCCATCGCCCCAAACAATAAGAAGCAGTCCAGAAAAGATGACATTCACATTCTCAAGAAGTGGAGTGGATGGGTTTTGGTCATTCTGTGAATTATGGCTGTTTGTCATCATTTAGGAGGGCTGGTTACAAGTTGTTATTGGTCATGGTCAGGAAAAAAGCTAAACAAAGGAGATTAGACTCAGGGATCTCTTTTTGAAGGGAAAAGGGGAGGGTGGGCTGGGCAGGGATTGGGAGAGGGGTTAGGGTTCACAGGAGGGAAGAAATCGGGGTGATTCACCAGGATCTGCTTAGTCCCCTGGGAATGGGTGCAGAGAGTGAGCAGAGGCCAAAACAGTTAGTCTCCTTGAAAGCTGGTGGGATTGGATTTGGAGGAAAAGAGGAAGAGTTAAGATCTGAAGCTTGCCCACCAGCTTCACTGGCCGACTTGCTTTTCTGTCAAGCTAGGCGGGCAGTTTCCCAGGGAGTGCCGGCTGGAGTCGGGGGTTGCAATAACAAAATGAGTGAGGAGGAATGTCGGAAGAGAAGATTTGTGTGATCTGCTGGAGATGGGGACACATAGGAACTGGGAATGAGACTGGCAGATTAGAGTTGGAGAGAAGAGGGGAGAGCTAAAGATTCCCTGGCCAGAGTCCATTTTACAATGTTGTGTAATCTAACTTTGAAATAATATAATAAAAAAGGAATCCATATATGTAAACTTTCTGAACATCTTCACATAACAAGGGATGCTTACTATTCATATTTTGAAAATTGATCATTAAATTTCCTTAAAATCTGTTTTGAAATGATGACTTGGTAGGTACTGTCTCTGTTACTAAATCAGACGAGAACATGGTGTTTATCTGTGACATCTCAGATAATAGAAATGATCTTAATCACCAAACATTTTAAAATGTGCCATTGTTAGCAATATGTTCCTATATTTTAATTTTAGCGTTTTTATTTTGTTGTGTTTGAACTTACAGATGGGTTTTGTTCTCTATAACCCGACTGGAGGTGTTGCCTGGGATCTGACAGATCATCACAACACTATGCTTCTTACCATATACTTTTGTTTCCATTGTGCGTTTGCCTATATCATCATTGGAGTGAATTATGCTGCTGTCACTTGGTGAGTTAGTGATTTTTTGTTCATGGCTATCCCATTCCTTGGTATATGGTCATCAAGTCCCAGTACTATTGAAAGGAAACACTTGAAAGGGGCCATCTTACTGCCACATCTCAATGGGTTTCCTAATCCAAACCACCAGGCACGGAGACTCCATCCTGTGGTCTGAGTACAGTTCTGGCTGCAATGTTCTGTATCTCTGGCCATATTTCTGTCTAGAGTATTCCACTTCATAGTCACTGGTGCTTGAGCACTTTAAATATGGCAAGTGCCACATGAACTTCAGTGAATGTAAGTATCTAATAAGATCGAATCTCTTATTTACTATGTTTAGGAACTACACATTTACTCTCCCGTCTCTCCCCATCTTTAACATGTTTCATGCTAGACTTTCCAAAGGGCACTTCCTGCTACCTGGCGTATTCACATTAAGCGACTATCTCTCCTTTTAAGGATCCTGTGGTTCCTCTAACCTAGTCACCCACCAGATGTTTTAACAACAGTGGTGCTGACTGTGAGTTCATTTGTCTTAGTTCTTCCTGCTGTCTTGAACTGTCGTAAGGGCACCCTGCCAAACATGGAGCAGTGAGTCCATCATTGCTTGTTTACTACTAAAAGAGCTATGTTCCAGATAAAATTCAATATCTCATACAGCCTTCATTTATTTTGAAAAAGTTTTACTTGCTGTTTAGTTTGGCTCTTTTATTGATATTATAAAGATAATATTAAGATTCAGTGCTACCTTTATATGATTAAATGGCTGGCTAACTCAGGCCTGAAATTCAGGGTAAGGAGTTGTAAAAATCTAGTAGTCAGGGTTTCATCATGTATTTGTGTCTCATCGACATGTGATAAAGTATCAAACATTGGGGCTGGAGAGATGGCTCAGTGGTTAAGAGCACTGGCTGTTCTTCCAAAGGTCCTGAGTTCAATTCCCAGCAACCACATGGTGGCTTACAACCATCTGTAATGAGATCTGGTGCCCTCTTCTGGCCTGCAGGCATACTTGCAGGCAGAACACTGTATACATAAATAAATAAATCTTAAAAAAATATATATCAAACATTATGTGATTGGCGTAGCATAATGATTGTCATGCAGCCTAAATAGGATATGGAATGAGCACTCCCAGAACCCCTAAAAGACAAGGCTGTCTGCCAGCCCCCTAAAGTGATGGATCCAAGATAGCCTCATCCTGTCTCACACCTGCAGTCTTAATTACAATGGCTTACATCTGGGAGCTATCTGCTCAGAAATCTTGTCATGTGGTCAATATATTTTACATTTAACACCATCTGTTACAAAGAACTATTTCGCAAAATCTCCTCTGTGCACTGGAAATAACAAGCAATTAAAATCAGGTTTTCCAAGTGATAATTCATATGAGTCACTTTGATAAGCATAGTAGAGATTCTCCAAATACCAGACATACGACAGCTAACTTGACAGGCCGGCTCTTGTCTTTCTCGTATATGTGAAGGGAAGATATGGGATCAAAAGAATGTATCTACTCTGATTCTCGCTCCTAAAATTTTCCCCGTTCTAGTGAATAGTGGTTATTTTCCGTTCTTGTTTGGTAGCTTTTTCTCAGTCCCCAGGAGGCCATTTCTGTATCTCTAAACCTTAGAGCTGCTAGGGGCAAATAGAACCTGGTAAAGACGCCTGAATGTGACCGAGTTTGGTGGCTTGTGATAAGGGCATACATAAACCAGAGAAAAGGAAGACAAAGTCACTCTGGGCTATGTAAATAATTAACCCATAGGCTAGAGAAACGGCTCAGTGGTAAAGAGCTCTTACTGTTCTTCCAGAGGACTCCATTTTAGTTCCCAGCACCCAGTGCTTCTGGGTCCCAACCTCCCATGACTCCTGTTCTAGGATATCTATGCCTTCTTCTAGCCTTCAGGGTAGCCTCGTATATGTGGTATACACATACAAGCATAAATTTAAAAATTAAGTAATTAATTTGCTATAAGCAACTACACGCACTTTAATTCGCTACAAGGAATTTCAGTAGGGAAGCTAGTCCATCAACTAACCAGCCCTTTACGTTTCATAGGCGTTGGAGCTGTGCAAGGAGGAAATACTATGTGGTTTTGAAAAGTGACAAAAGGGAGTTCTCAGGCTTGCACCTGTTACAGAGTATTAGCCTTTCATGAAGAAGTGGTTTGAAGGCTTAAGGAGGACAGTGGGGGCAATATTAATAGCCAATAATCAAGGTAAATCATTTTAAGCGGCTGCCTTCAGCTCTTGAGTCAAAAGATGTTTCAGAGACTAATCGATCATTGTTTATTGGAGGAGTTAGAGTGAGTTGGCAGAGGCTGAAGAATTAGCTTCTACTTACAGATGAGTAGTGTGACCCTGCTGTCAAAGTGTCCAGAATGTTCCGTGCCAGAATCAGTTCAGTCTGGCCGGAGGTAGGGAAGCAGACAGGATGAAGTCTCTGCTCTGTTGATGCTTTAGTGGGACCGAGAGCTCAAGAGAAAGCACGAACCATTGACGGGTGGGCAGAACAGAAGAGCTGGTCCTGCCCCTCACCAAGTGCAGCATCCGGAGAGCGAGCCCTGCACCTTGCCTGAGCAAAACAGTAGAGCTGGCCCTAGTGGTGTGGGTGCAGATGAGCTGGACCAGAGGATGTGAGCACAGGAGCACTGGCCCCACTCCTTGCTGTCTGCTACATTGGGAGAGCTAGCCAGAGCAGTGCTGGAGAGCTCCCCCAGGTGGCGACGATGAGGGAAAGCTGGCAGGCTGACCAATCCAGCTACCACCCAGGCCCAGAACCAAGACTATGAGGTAGTCCACCCCAACACCCACCTCATCTATGAACTGCTGGAGCATGTGAGGGGGCTGGACCTGCAGCTCCAAAGCTGTAGGATCTCTGTGACACAAGAGACTATCCAAGAGAATGCCCAGTTAAGGGCCCAGTATTGAGAGTATAGCAGAAGCCAGAGACCTCGAACCAAACCAATGACTCATTGCAATGAACACTTATAAGTAAAAATGTGTGGATGAAAGGGTAAAGAGTGTGACTCACTGTGTCGCACTATAGCTTCCATGCTGAGATTTGTTTTCTTTTTTTTCCTTTCTTTCTTCCTTTTTCTTTCTTTTTTTCTTCTTTGTTTTGTTTTTTAATTTGATTGGGATGGGGAGGTTACAAGGGCAGAGGGCAGAAGTGAGGGGACAGGAGATGAGTGGGATCGGGATGCATGGTGTGAAATCCACAAAGAATCAATACAAAGTTAAAAAAAAAAAAAGTCAACCCAGAATTGCCATAGGGCTCAACTTGGGCTGGCACTCCTAGGAAGATCTCACTTCATGTGTTTCCTTTACAAGAAATGAAGTCACTTTGCAACCTCTGGGTTTTGATGCCAAATCTCCACTGGTCTCAGTCTCATCCCACCTCACCACAGCGCACAGATTCGCTTATTTGTTTTAGAAACAATCAAAATGTTCTGATGCCTAGTCAAACAATCACGTAATCCATTGAAAAGCCACATTTATCTGTTTTCTTATACTGTGCTTTAATCTACATACATTTCCAGGAATCTCTGACACCAAGTAAACACAGTGTGCTTTTCTGACTCGCCTCCTCTAGGTACAGGGATACTCTGGAGTGTTAGCTGTATATTGCTCTCAGTTTTTATTCTAGGTTTCATGTAACCAAGATTATTCTCCTATCCTCCTCATCCAGGTTGGTGAAGTGGAGACTTAGGAAGTTCTGCTTCACACAAGTTCCACTCCTGAAAAATGTCGGGCAAGAGGAAGAATCAGAAGAGATGTGAATTTGATGGGCAGCCATTCATTCTTACATAAACCTTTCTTTATTGTAATGAACCTTACTTACCTCTTGCTTTTGACCTGCATTCAGTACGCACAATCTGTACTGTTTATAGTTCCAATTTTGTTAAAAGTACTTAAATGTAGTTATTTCATTCTTATCTGAAAGTACTTTGGATGACAAGATTATTTCACACACATGGTATCATATAGTCAGAATAATATATAAAAATACTTGTTTTAATTTTCCACATGGATAGTCTCCAGGCTCCTGGTCTTGCTGTACCTTGCAGTTCATTAAAAATGGGGCAACAAAAGAAATTAATATAGAAACCTCATGTCTTTGTTTTCACCTTTGGACTATACCACATTCTCATGTGGTACAGAAATAGCTGAGTAATTCAGAAATACCTTTTTATGAGACATCCCCCACGGAAAAACAGACACAAACCAGGATGATAGTATATATCTTTAATCCCAATGCTCATACTGTGAGATTAGGAGCATAGGTAGGAGAATTTCCAGAAGCTCTCAGACTGGCTAATCCTGTGTACACCACAGTGACCATCAAAGAGACCCTATTGCCAGGTAGAAGATGAAGACCGATCTGGAGGCTGTCTTTAGACATCTACATACGTGCCATGGTACCCACATTCACTCACTTCATATATACAGACACACATATATACAGACATGTAACACACACACACACACACACACACACACACACACACACACACACACACACACACACACAC